TCAACGAGTATAGCGTCAGCATGACCTACGACGAGTTCTGCCAGCGCTACGCCGCCATCCCCTCGCTCGACGCCATCAACATGGCCGGCGCCGTCTCGGGCGAGGCAAAGCAGAAGTTCTCGGCCGCACGCGAGATCATGCAGTGGTCCGAACACGGCGTCGCCTCGGGTCGCGTCAAGGTCTTCCTCTCCCACAACGCCTTCCGCGAGCTCGAGGACGAGCTGCGTGCCGCCGACCCCGAGGAGATCAAGAACAACGAGCGACGCGCACAGCTCGACGCCGAAGCAGCCGCTCGCGGCGAGTCCGACCCCTTCTCCCCCATGGCCGTCAACGCAGACGAGCTGACGCGCAGCCAAAGCAACGACTTTGTCGGCGCCTATGGCGATCCGTTCAAGGAGCGTTCCTCCGTCGTCCTCCCGCTCGTCGGCGGAGCAGGCGCTGCCGACGCCGACGACGCGCTCGAAGAGGTCAAGAGCTCCTACTCGGGCGTCTCCGGCACGCTCCCCAGGCGCAGCTACGGAGGCGGCCTCAGCGGCGCCGCCTCCAACATCGGCTCCGAGGCCTACGCGCCCTCGCGCAACATGTTTGCCGACATGGGCAAGAACGGCCTCAACGAGAAGGCCGGTACGGCCGCCTTTACCGAGGAGCCGCTCGGCGAGGTCGCCGAGGAGGTCGGCGTCACCGCCGCGCGTCGCAAGTGGGTCGCCTTCACCTGGGCCGTCACCTTTTGGATCCCCTCGTTCGTCCTCAAGCGCTTCCACTCGCTCAAGAGGCCCGACATCCGCATGGCATGGCGCGAGAAGCTCGCCATCAACCTCATGATCTGGTTCATCTGCGGCTGCGCCGTCTTTGTCATCGTCGTCCTCGGCAACCTCATCTGCCCCAAGCAGCACGTCTACAGCCCCACCGAGTTCGCCTCGCACAAGGGCGACTCCTCCTTCACCTCGATCCGCGGCGAGGTTTTCGACTTGAGCAGCCTCGTCACCAGCCACAAGAGCGTCGTGCCCGTCGTCCCCACCAACTCCATCCTCGCCTACGCCGGAGAGGACGCCACCTCCATCTTCCCCGTCCAGGTCAACGCGCTCTGCAACGGCGTCGACGGCAACGTGAGCCCCTGGGTGCAGCTGTCCAACGAGAACTCCACCGACAAGAACGCCCAGTACCACGATTTCCGCTCCTACCACATCGACGACCCGCGTCCCGACTGGTACTACGAGACCATGTGGCTGCTGCGCTCCAACTACCGCGTCGGCTTCATGGGCTACACTAGCGACGGCATCCGCGACATGCTCTCCGAGGGCAGGTCGCTCGCCATCTACCGCGGCGACATCTACGACGTGTCCGACTACGTCAAGCAGGGCAACCAGGGCGTGCTGCGCGCTCCGGACGGATTTCAGGCTCCGATCAACACCAACCGCAAGTTCATGAGCGATGCCGTCATCAGCCTCATCGCACAGAACCCGGGCAAGGACATCACCAAGCAGCTCGACAGCCTGCCGCTCGACCGCGACGTGCTCGACCGCCAGCGCGTGTGCCTGCGCAACCTCTACTTTATCGGCAAGGTCGATCACCGCAACTCGCCGCAGTGCCGCTTCTCCCAGTACATCCTGCTCGCGCTCTCGCTCTTCATGGTGGCCATCCTCGGATTCAAGTTCCTCGCGGCGCTCCAGTTCGGCCGGGCGCGCAAGCCCGAGGACCACGACAAGTTTGTCATCTGCCAGGTGCCCTGTTACACCGAGGGCGAGGAGTCGATGCGCAAGACGATCAACTCGCTCGCGGCGCTCAAGTACGACGACAAGCGCAAGCTGCTCTTCATCATCTGCGACGGCATGATCGTCGGTTCGGGCAACGACAGGCCCACGCCGCGAATCGTGCTCGACATCCTCGGCGCCGACCCGAACCTGGAGCCCGAGGCGCTGAGCTTCCTCTCGCTCGGCGAAGGCAGCAAGCAGCACAACATGGCCAAGGTGTACAGCGGTCTCTACGAGCACCACGGCCATGTGGTGCCGTACATTGTGGTGGTCAAGTGCGGCAAGCCCACGGAGCGCTCGCGTCCGGGCAACCGCGGCAAGCGCGACTCGCAGCTGGTGCTCATGCGCTTCCTCAACAAGGTGCACTTTGGCCTGCCCATGAACCCGATGGAGCTCGAGATCTACCACCAGATCAAGAACGTCATCGGCGTCAACCCGAGCTTCTACGAGTACATCCTCCAGGTGGATGCCGACACCGAGGTGGAGGCGCTCTCGCTCAACCGATTCATCTCGGCGTTCATCCGCGACAAGAAGGTCATCGGCTTGTGCGGCGAGACGGCGCTGTCGAACGCCAAGGCGAGCATCATCACCATGCTGCAGGTGTACGAGTACTACATCTCGCACTACCTCGCCAAGGCGTTTGAGAGTCTGTTTGGATCGGTCACGTGTCTGCCCGGCTGTTTCTCCATGTTCCGCATCCGCACGCCCGACACGCATCGGCCGCTGTTCATTGCGTCGGCGATCGTGGAGGAGTATGCCGAGAACCGCGTCGACACGCTGCACACCAAGAACCTGCTGCATCTGGGCGAGGACCGATACCTGACGACGCTCGTGCTCAAGCACTTTGGCAAGTACAAGACCATCTTTGTGCGCGACTGCAAGGCGTGGACGGTGGCGCCGGACGACTGGAAGGTGCTGCTGTCGCAGCGCCGACGCTGGATCAACTCGACGGTGCACAACCTGGTGGAGCTCATCTTTACGCCCGGGCTGTGTGGATTCTGCCTCTTCTCGATGCGCTTTGTGGTGTTCATCGACCTGCTCTCGACCATCATTGCGCCGGTGACGGTGGCGTACATTGTCTACCTGATCGTGCTCGTCACCACGGCCAACGGCACCATCCCGCTCACGGCGATCATCATGCTGGCGGCCATCTACGGCTGTCAGGCGG